CATTAACACAAGCTTTTGTAAGTCATATAAGTCATGCTATCACATTGGCATACAATTCATCAATCTTTTACTCATTCTTCTCCCCCTTTGTCATCAACAAAAAGGAGATGAGACTTTTAAGTATACAATTTGTGATTGAAAATTCACCAGGAAGATTGATCATTCAATATTCATAATATTATACAAAATTCAGCTTATTAAATAGAATCTAAAATTCATCTTAGTAGAAAGAAATCAGCATTCATTCAAAATTCATCATATTTGAAAAATTCAACATTCGTTTAAAACAGCATGACTTTCATACAAAAGAAAGAAGATGACAAAACTTTAACTTGGCATTAAGAGTAATCATACAAGGATCGCATGTCAAGGTAATAGAATAAGCAGGCATATCGATTAATCCTTAGGAGGAAATCCATAGTTCTTATACATGACATCTATTTTTTGATTCATTTGTCGTAGTTCCTTCAAAATTTTAATTTACTGAATTTGAATTTGCTCTTGCTGTGATTTGAGTTGTTCTTGTTGTGATTTAATCTGATGTAATTCTGTCATAAAGAGTTCTTCAGAAGATGAAGTAGGAGTTGAAGGTGCTGCTCCAAAGGGACTAGGAGGAGGAGATTCATTTCCCCAAAATATTGGTGTTTCGGGATGTTCTACTAGTGGGGGAATTGGATCAGTCCTTCTAGGTTGCCTAACCCATAGACCATAGTTAAATGTGCACCTAAGTCTTTTCAGTAGATTTCTATTGATGATGTTAAATCGATCAACTTTAATTGTTTCTTCATCAGGCGAGACACAAATATCATGGGCAAGTGTTAATCGAGTAATTAACCTCCTATATGGTAACATAGTGTCTTTAGCTATTATATCCTGCATATGTTGCCGGATTAAGTATCCAAAACAATTATGTTGTCCGGTTATAATACAGTACATGGTGCTTAGCTCTATTTGACTCATTTCATCAAGATGATATTGCTTGGGAAATAATATGCTAGTCATGATGTGATGAAGAATTTTAGAGTTAAAGGGTAGTAAATGCTCGCAACTTTTGGATATCATGCCTGGGTTTGTATTTTCAAAGATGGTTTCTAAGGCTTCGGAGTAAGTTGCTCCGATTATATATTATATCACATTTATTTCTAAAGTAACAGCCCCTATCATTTTCAGAAATTCCAATTAGTTCACAAATAGTACTATCAAAAATTCTAATTTGTGTTCCTAAAAGGTAAGTACTTAGGCTTTCGTTGTCCACACATAAGTTTGCATAAAATAGCCTAACTAACCTAGGATAAATTGGTTCATTGATTTGTAGGAGAGGTAAGACATCTAAATGTGCAAACCACTTAATGGGTTTTATGTTTCCTAGTTCATATAGATCAACATGTTTACCCTTATGTATAGTTCTTGTTTCGAAATTTGAAAACCTAAGAGCTACTTCTTTGGATCTAAAAAGATTTTGGTCATATGAATCTCCTTCAATCCTTTTCCCTTTTGATCTTGTTGATCTCTTAG